AGATGACCATAGATTTAGTAACAACAATAATAATGATGATGATGTCTAACATTTATATGGCATTTACTGTGTGCCAGGCACTGTGCTAAGCACTTAACAATTATTATCCTAATTGATCTTCACAATAACCCTGGGAGGTAGGTGCTATTATTCCTATTTTACAAATGTGGAAACTAAAGTAGACAGAGGTGAAGTGACTCACTTAGAGTCACACAGCTGGTAAGTGTCTAAGGCAGGATTTGAACTCTAATCTCCCCTGACTTCAGGCCTAGCAATGTTTTATCCACTGTGCCACCTCTCAGGGCTCTGATAGCCCTGATATTCTATCTGTAGTTCTATCTCAATTTTTCTGACCTTTTTTCCCTTTCTCAAAGAACCATACCATGTACTCTTGATTTGCTGTGAATAGATAAGTCACTTCTTACATTATCTACCACTAATGTTTTAGGAAATTTATTGGTTTTTTAATTGATATGTTTTCCACAGTCCCCTTACTCCATCTTACAAAATGCATTCCCTAAAAAGGAAAGTAACCCAGTCTGATGGTGTGATTTCCATGGCTACTTATTAATCCCAGGCCAGTTTCTCCAGAAGTGTGCCGTCAGTCAGTATGTGGTCAAGGAATTCAAATGCCCTTTAATATTAACCCATTCAGACAGAATTGGGAAGGTAAATTTGATACCCAAAACTCACAGACATTTCAACATGAAACAAATGGCTTTTTGGATTATTGGGTATATTGGGTAATTCCTGCTACAGCTTGTTTCCATTAGCAGTATGACCAAAACCTGGCTGTATTTGCTTGAGCTTAGAAGCTCGTTTGGACAAGGACAAGTGTGCCCCCTGACTCCTGCTCCCCCCCCCCATGAAGGCTGGAAGACTCCAGATCCTGTCTTCAGTTCGTGGGGCATTTTCAGATTTCCAGACCTGTCCAGTCAGAATCTCTGTCTCAGCCTCTTGCCCCTGAGAATGCCTTTAGTGCTCTTCATTGTGATGGGAAACCAGGAGAGGAACATAGGACAGCCCGAGTGGAGGCAGCCTCCAGAGAAGAGCTTCCTGAAGCAGGTAAGAAAGTCAGCCTTTGTCCAGCAGAACACACACTCTTATTGCTGCTCTTTCATAAAGAACGACCCAGCCAGGCTCTTGACTATTGCCAGTTTTGTCCTTCTGTCTTTGGAGCTTTGTATCTTCCAAAATCCTACCTGGGTGAGTCTGGTGTTGCAGGCCATCCGGCTATGAAGAGGATAGCACCCTGTGATGGGGAGTAGGACTTGGGCAATTCTAAGTGATTATTGGGGTGTTTGAGGCAGTGATTCTACCTTTATCTTCAATTATTGGCAGTAGTGAATGGAACTCTTTTCAGTGTGACCGTAGATGTGTTATTTAACCTTTCAAGTCCTCACTTGTCCCAGCTATATGATGGCAGTAATAATGTCGGCATTACCTACCCCATGGTTGTTATTGGGAGAGTGCTTTGTAAAACTTAAAGGACTATTGGAATGTGTGATGTTGTTTGGTGTGTGTATGTGGGTGCTTTAAAGTTTACAGCATACTTGGCATACATTATTTTATTGAAGCCTACAAAAAAAGGGTAACCTTACATGGAGGGATAGGAATATCCCAGAACTAGGGGTGGGATACTTCCACAGAAGAAACTGGGTACAGCTAAAGGCCAGTCAACTGCAATATCTGGGGACACCTTTTTCCAGTTCCACAAAAGGACCATTATGTAGGTTCCCCACTAGGGTATCAGAGAGTGGGGACAAGGGGCAGCTAGGTGGCACAGTAGATAGAGCACTGGCCCTGGATTCAGGAGAACCTGAGTTCAAATGCGGCCTCAGACACATAACACTTACTAGCTGTGTGACCCTGGGCAAGTCACTTAACTCCATTGCCCAGCCAAAAAAAAAAAAGGAAAAGAAAACAGAGAGTGGGGACAGGTAATCCCCAGGGATTGTTGTGCCCCTACTGTCTGTCTGCATCTGGAACTGAGCTCTTTATTCTCACCCTTCCTTTTTGTGCTATGCAGATGATCTGGATGGGCTTCTAGGTGAGCTGCCTGAGGACTTCTTCTCTGAGGACAGTGGCTGGTGAAGCAGGACTACAAGGAGCTGGCATTGTCTTGTTTATTGCAAGTCTGACGTGGACATGTCTAACCTTGTGAAAGAGTAGATGAAGGCAGTGCTGTGTTCTTGCCTTAGCAGATAACCTTGTGAGCGTGTTAGCTGCCCTTCCACTGCCTGTTTCCAAGAGAGCTCTCCTCATCTTCCAGGTCAGAGCATCTCCTTCTTAACAGTGTCTGTCCTTGGAGACAGTGGGGGTCTTATCTGGAATCTGACCTGGCCCCAGAAAGCATCAGTTTCAATTGCAGACTTGTTTCTTGGTCTTCTTATCACTTTGGTCTCCATTCTTTGGATAGTTGGAGAGACAGGAACAAACAGGACATGTTCCCCTAGAATGTGGGCTTAAAACTTATGTATGCTTCCATCACCTGCCCACCTGGGGTTAAATTATCAGTTCATTTTCCCTCAGAACCATGTATATTCTGCTAGTATCATCCTTCCCCTGAAAAACTACTTCACTTAAGCCTGAATTATTTATTTTCCCCTAAAACAAGGTCTATGCTGAAGTTACACAGTTTAACTTGTGCAGGATGCTTTCAGGTTTGGGTCAAAGAATTAGTGTATTATGCCATATTCTGAAATAAAGTATGGTGCCACTTTGGACTTTAGGCTGTGCTGTTCTCCTGCCAGATTCTCTTGTGACTTCAGCCTCCTTAGCTTCTTCTGTGTGTCCTACCTATCTTGATGGTGGATGCCATAATGTCATGAGAGAGGGCTGAACACTCTAAACCCAGAGTGCCTTCACAGAAGGGGACACCGTGACATTAACTGTTAGTCCTCTAATGTAGTGATTTCAGTAGTTTACTGCCATATCAGGGACTGGTCAAGGAGGAGGATGTAGTTCTTTGTATTTGTCCCATCCCTAAAATGTCTCAGAGTTAATTACTGCAGTTGGGGGAAATAGAGTTGGTTTAACATCTGCTGCTCATTGCCAGAAAAGGAGAGGACCCAAAGAGTTAGGGCCTTCTGGGGTTAGGTTTGAATTGCCAACTCGTTCTCAAGGACCACCTTATTTAGGCCTGGGGCCTTGCTCTAAGATGTAACTTCCTCATTTCTAAAATGTATCTCCATTGTGAGGCTAAAGAGAGAAAAGGAAAGGCTGTGGGGGATGGGAAGGCAGTCAGTCATTTGATAAGCATTTATGTTCCAAGTGTTGGACACTGTACTACGCAGTAAAGAATGAAATAACTCCTATCACAGGGATCGTACATTCTAAAGTGGGATATTACAAAGTGTACATATGTATGTGTGTGTATGTCTATTCAGAATAAATAGAAAGTTAATTAATATAAGTAACTAAATGTAATGTTGCTTGGGAGGGAGGACACTGGCAGTTGGAGATATTAAGGAAGGCTTCATGTAGCAGTTGGTGTTTGAGCTGAGGGGTTCAAGGAAGTGGGAGATTCTAGGAGTCAAGAAGTGAGGAGGACAGACATTTCAGGCATGAAGAGCAGCCAGTACAAAGACACAATGGGGTACCTGGAGGGACTGACCCTTGTGCCATAGTTGGCACCTTGGACTGGCCTTTATCTACCTTTTTTACATGAATATTTTACTATAAGCTGGTCCCCTTTCCATCCCTCAGCTGCATATACAGCTAACCACTTTTCTTTCTACCAAATCTCCTGTCTAGAATGTTCCTCTTCTTCCTGCCTAGCAGACCCCCATCTAGCTTTCAAGGCCTGGATCAGTCTTGTCTCTGTGAAACTCCCTCAGGTTCTTCTAGCCCACAGGCCTTTCTCTTCTGAACTCTATTTAATACATGTTAAAAGACACAAAGATGGGAAAAAAAACTGTAGGGTTTAGAGCTAGAAAGGACTTTAGAAATGTTCTTATTGTACAGAGGTAGAAACTGAGGTCCATGGAGTTGAAGGGACTTATCCAGGTCATACCAGTAAACAGATTCAGGATTCAAATCTGTCGCTATTTTTCGTGTACTATAATACTTCTCATAAGGCACTTAGCACATTGCACTGTAGTTACCAGAATTGTGTGTCTAGGCCTTTTGATTACAGTGTAAACTTGTAGAAAACAGTGATTGTGTCCTTTGTATCTCACATGGCACCTTGCACAGAATCTGTGCTCAGTAAATGTCGAATGAAGCAGTCCCTGTATGTTCATAGTGATATGGGGGATAGAAAAGAAAACCCTGTTCTACTCAAGTTACTTAGCTCCTCGGAGAGCATGAGAGACAGACAAAGATACTCTGTGGACACCATAATGAGGGTGCCCTTCAGTCCTAAGTGCTCTCCACTGGTCAAGGATGGGGAAGGTGCCAAGAGTAGATCTGGAAGGCTAGGGCACTCTTCCTATTCCCTTCTCCAACAAGATTCCTGACCCCACCCCCCCCATACACAATCCAACTTGAGAATTTTGTGCCCCTTTAAGAGAGGAAGGGAGTACACACTACCCACCTTGGCTTCCTCAGGCCCACCCTGCTTTGCTGATCTCCAACCATGGAAATTCAGCTGTGGGTTGCTACTGCTGCAACTAGGCGGTTGGCATTTTAATTGTACAATAGTGAGTTCCAATAGGGTTAATTATAGCTGGGTCTATAGAAGTGCCTTTCTCTGATAATCTCCAAGCACTTTCTGGTCATGATCTCATTCCTGCCCAGAACATCTCAGATAGAGGAGGAGGGTGGGATCCTTTATCCCACCCACTCACTTCTATAACTATCTACCCCTACCTACATGGGACAGGTGGAACTAGAGGCAGGGTGAGATAAGTGGACTGATTGAAGAAAACAGTAAGATGATAGAGGCAAAGGAACCTCAAGTGCTCAAGTGTTTAAACCAAAGTAGGATCTGAGGACCTTTATTAAGTGGGGCTAGGGCATGGGGAGGGTGGGGGGATGGACAGCTGTAATATCAAACACAGCTCTAGCAGTGAAGAAACGCTGAAGGCAGAGAGCTCTGCATAGGTTTGAAACAAATAGAGGCCTTTAATCCCCTGCACCAGAGCACAGTAGGGTGTATCAGAGGGGGGGTGCTCAAATTCCTAAGGCCATCCAACAAGTTGGATTGCCCTTGGTTATATTAGGCTCCTGCTATGTCTAGGATGACTGTGAAAGATGCCTCCCTCACTTTAGGAGAACTGGCAGAGGCCGGATCGCTGATCCCTGTACTGACACCGATGCTGTTTCTTGGCGTCATTCCTCCCTCTAGGGATGTCTAAGTAAAGCTGCCATCCCCATGGGGAGAGGTGTTTGCTGTACCACTTCCTTGAATGTTAGAAAGATACCAAGTCCAACCCAAGCAGGGATATACTCTAAACTATCCCCCCAATAAGTGGTCATCCACTGTCTGCCTGAAGACTTTATGTTCTACTTTTGGACAATTTTCTACCTTCATATCACTTCCCAGGCACCTGGGAGCTCCCAGGGGAGGAGATCAAACTTGCCGATTTGTGGGGGCTAGGAGCTTGGCTGAGGGAGAGGAGAATGGACTGCTCTTTGGCCCTTTTCAGGTTCTTATTTGTCCCCTGGCTTATTGCCTGGGCTAGAGGGAGAATGGAAGGGAAGGAGATAAGAGCAGACAGTGGCTAACTGCTGGCCTTCTCCTTCTAAGTCCCTGTAGTGAAGGAAACTTCACTAGGTTTTGTGCTCTTGCCTGTGTGGAGGCTGGAGGCATGTCTCCTCTTGCTAACTCTGGTGACTGATTCCATCTCCCTTTACTTCCTGGGTCTGTCAGTCATCCAAACAACTGATGAATGGAGCCTCCTCTGACGAGGAAGACCCAGGCTGCTCGATTTCATATCCTTCCACCCAAACGCTCATCTGGGACCTTCTGTACATCCCAGTATGGAAGTGAACATGTTAATAAGACAGCATGGCCTCTGGAGGGGGCTCAGGCCCAAGTTTTTCTCCACTGGGACCATGACGCTGCACAAAACCTGTTGATCAGATTGCCAGGGAGGCCTATTTATATCCTCAGCTGCTCCTGAACGAACAGCTTTAGCAAGGGGGGGGCTTCTCAGAGCAGAGAAAGTAATGTTGTATGAGCCCAGCATTGCCTGGGCACCCGCTCGCATAAATTGGGTCCACTACAGCATGGCAAGGGAGACTTTCCCCTTCACTTCTTCCACTTTGCGCTCACTTCGCCTGCAGCAAGAATGGCTAGAATGGGAAGATCGGCGCCGGGCAGCTGCCTGGCAGCGCTACAACCGGAGGTGCCCCCCAAGCACCCGGACCCCACTTACCCGGACTCCCCGCTGTTGCCGGGATCCAGCTGTCCATAATGCCCTGTTTGTGGGTGATCTGCAACGGATCCAGGCCCTGTTCCAGGATGAAGCAACAGCCAACATGATTGTGGAGACTGTCAGTGACCAGCTGGCATGGTCGGCTGAACTGGGTAAGGGGCATCAAGAAGGTGCCTAAGTAGGTAGAAAGAGGAGAATGAAAGGAATGTCATTGGGTAAGAATTTTAGACGCCATTCCCTACCCACTGATGATATTGATACCAAAATGGGGCCTCCTTTCTCCCCATGGAGGATGTTCCCCAGGTTCTTAGGAAATACTGTTCAGCTTATTCCTCCCTAACTCTTTTTTTGGTAGAGGAACAACAGTGATCTGTGATACCCTGGCCAATGCCCAGTGTTTCATCTGGTATCTTGAGGATTTTCCTTAGCCATTTTGGTAGAAGATACTGCATCCTGTCCACTGTATAGTCCTTATGTTCTCATGCCTTTTGGGGGAACCAGTTGTGTCCATCACTTTCCTGCCCCTCCCAGTTTTGTCTTATTCTGCTCCTGACTCTATTTAATGGTATTTATCTCTTGCTCCCCCTTCCCCAGGCCTCTGGGTACTGACCCCAAGGACCAAGCAGACGACCCCATTACAAATTCTGGCAGCCCGAGGCTACACCAGCTGTGTCCGCTACCTGATCCTGCAGGGTGCTGATCCGGATGCCCGAATCGGGGGGCAGACAGCCTTGCATGAGGCCTGTGCCCAGGCCCAGCTAGACTGTGTGAGGTTGCTTCTTGACTTTGGAGCCAATGCTAATACACTGTCAGAGGAAGGCATGGCTCCCCTCCACCTCTGTACTACCCCTGAGTCTTTACGGTAGGTTCCTTTGAGGCCGACCTGTTACTTGGCATAAAACAGTTGGATGGTCATTCAGTTTTATGTTGGTTGTTTTTTTGTTTTTTTTTTATTTCCCTACTAGACTGAAAAACTCACTCTGGGCAGGTACTGTGTCTTTATTTTTGTATATATATCCCAGTGCCTTGCAGAAAAGAAGGCAAGTTCTCTTGCTCAGCAGAGCCCCAGATAATCATAGGATGGGAAGGGAATGTTGACTAAGGGGAATTAGGGAAGTCCAGAGCAGAACTAGAGGAAGAAGCTGGCCAAGGGAGTCCTTGTACAAAAGGATGCTGACGAGCTTCTACGTCCAACATACTTTGTAGCTCTAAAGACTTTCAAACTAGTTGGATCCTCACTTGATCCTTTATCCTGAGAGATCACGAGGAACAGGTCCAAGGGGCTTAGGACCTCAGAATTGACTCTGGTTTTCCTGTCAACTCCACTCCCCAGATGTGCCAAATTACTGCTGGAAATGGGAGCATCTGTGAACCTGGCCTCAAGGGAAAGTAAGGTCACGCCCTTGCATGTGGCTGCTGGTCGGGGCTTGGAAGAACATGTAGCCTTGTACCTGCAGTATGGGGCTGATGTGGGCCTGTGTACAGGCCAAGGCGAGACTGCCCTCAACTCAGCCTGTGCTGGGGCTGAAGGCCCAGGACGACGGCACGAAGGGGTAGTCCAGCGGCTCCTGGAGGCTGGGGCAGATCCCCGGGCAGCAGGCCGGAAGCGCCACACCCCACTCCACAATGCCTGTGTCAATGGTTGTGAGCGTCTGGTGGAACTGCTGCTGCATCATGGGGCAAAGGCTGATGCTCCCAATGGGGCTGGACATACACCCATGGACTGTGCTCTACAGGCAGCTGAGGACATCCCCAACAGGAAGCCTGAGGTCCTCATCTCTGCCCTGCTGGACTATGGGGCTCAGCCCATCCGCCCAGAGGTGATGGAAGACAAAGGAACAGGACAGTGTGAGGGGGCAGGAGGCAAAGAAGGGAAGGCCAGGGCTGGGGACCTGGGGTATAAGAGAGTGGCTGGATTTTGGCCTTTGGGGCCAGATGATGCTGTCAAGAAGAGAGTCAGTCAAGGAGAGGACAAAAGAGGAGTGTCCTAGAGGTTGCCTTGGCCCTGGTGATGGCTTGTTAGCTACTCCTAGACCTTTCCTAACTCCTAGTGCTTGTTATGTGCCTAATTTGGGATGGAAACAAGGGGGTAGAAATTGAATTGTTTGGGGTCCAGGGGGTAAGGAATAGGGAAAGCAGTTGGAAGCTAGAAGGTTGGGGAACATGCCTTAGTGGAAAAATAAACTGATGCATGGGAAAGGGAAAAGAAAAGTCCTAATCATATCTCCTACATTTCTCTCCACTTAGCCCCTCTAGACTTAAGGAGATGTGATCTCGTCTGGGGAAGGGGAAGATGAGTAGTGCTTCCTTCTAGTGTTCTGTCCTCACCCTTTCCCTCCTCCCACAGATGTTGAAGCTGTGTGCTTCATCTCCACAAGGCCTGGAAGTCATGCTCAATGCCTACCCTTGTGTTCCACCTAGTGAAACCTGGGCTGAGGCTGTGCCCCCCGAGCTGTGGCAGGTATGTGTGACAGTGTGTCTCTCCTGTGGGCTCAGCCCTATGCAAGGCACAAGGGAAGAGATGGAGGCCTTATCTCCAGAGACACTCCCACCCACCCCGAGAGACAAGACACAGAGCTCTGACCATCAGTGAGTAGAGGCAGGGAAAAGAGCTAGCAAGTGGTTTTAGCCATGTAAGGCTTATTTGGAGGAGGGAATTGGGGAGGTGTGTTGGAAAAGGAGGAGGAGGGCTTGCTCAGAAAGGATAAAGTATAAAGAATTGCCTCCATTAGAAGCATCCCAGACTCTTCATCCTAACAGCCTAAACAGACCTTTCTTCCTCTCCTGTTCCTATCCTCCACCAGTTTTCTAAATCAGTGCTTTCTTTTGTACCTGTTGCCCAGGTACAGTTCATAAATCATCAGGGGCCCCTGAGAAGGGGGGTGGGCAGTGCCCATCTATCCTTCTAACCTAACCTGTTCCCTAATAGGACAGCTGTGAGGCAAGGATACTAAGCAAAGTAACTTTCTCTCATGGCTTAGGAGCATGAAGCCTTCTACAACTCAGCCTTCCAAATGGCAAACCAGCCGCGGCAGCTGCAGCACCTGGCCAGGCATGCCCTCCGGAGCTATCTCAGGAATCGCTGTCGCCTTGCTGTGTCCCAGCTTCCACTGCCCCCTGCCCTGAAGGACTACATGCTCCTTCGAATTGAGGGGACCATTCAGTGAGCTTGAGTTGGGGTAGGTGCCGGATGCCCAGGTCCTGTTTGTGGCTGTATTACCCTCCCTTCTCACTTAGAAGAAGGAGTTCTTGGAGGGCAGTGGTTTTTAGCCTTTTAAGCCCATGGGACCACTCAAATAGAGCAAAGGACATCATGGAAAACCTCCCCCCAACCCCATTTAAAAAAAAAAGGCTACAGTTAATGGGAAGGATGTTCAACAGGAGTTTTTATTAAACACAAGCAAGTAACATATATGAGAAACCAAAGTATACATGTTGTCATAACATAAACATCACAAGAACCCCCCTCACAGATTGCATGGAGGATCCTCAACGATGACCATTTGTCAAGACGGAATCAATACTGGTAGGCACCTGGTGCCAGAGGAGAAGCAGGAAGTGGGAATTTCAGGGCTTGATTCTTCTGTGTCTTAAATGAAAAGGGCATTGCTTTGGGGTACCACTATATAGAAGCTAGAGCCCAAAGTATTTCCTGCCCTCTGTCACCTCATGGATAGCAGGAGTTGATGAATGAGTGACCAGTGTCATTTACTCTTCAGTCTTGCTGCTTCCTTAGCCTCTTCCTTTTCCCCTGGGTCCCAATCAAGGAACATGGCTTGTAGCAGATGCCTCAGTTTTTGGACAAATACAAGAGATGGTTTAGCCTGGGATCTGAGTTTCTTGACCTGAAATTCTACTCCTTGAAGTTCTTTGGAGAGAAGAGCCCTCTCAGAGGGAGTGGATGAAGAGAGGTGGAGTGATTGCCCATTTCCCCCTCCTGGCCAGACCTCCACTCTGCCTGCTAGTGTCCTCATGCTTCCTGCCACCCAAAGCAGTAGTTACCAGAAGGCCTCTGCCTGGCCTGTGTGAACAACTAATGATCACATTCCAGCTTCGGGGGAGATGGTGGGAGTTGGGCAAAGAGGAAAAGGTGAACAGACAGAGCAGGCCCAATATGCAGAGAGGAACATGGCAGGAAACTAGGCAGTCCTTGGCCCTAGATTCAGATCCTGACTCTACCTGTTAACTGGGCCCTCAAGAAAATTACTTCAAATTTCAGGGTGAATATTTGAATTTTAACTGGGCTTCAGTTTCCTCATTGGTAAAAATGAAGGGGTGGGGGTGCCTGACTCTATGTTCTTTAGTCAGGCCCCTTCCAGCTCTTAATCTTTCTAATCGTAATGCCATCTGTGCGACTCTGGGTAAATCACTTCCCCTCCAGCGGCCTCAATTTCCTCATCTATAAAATGGGGGTAAGACAAGAGCAGTCTTTAAGGGCCTTTCCAGCAGGCCTAAAGAGACTCAGGAGCTTTGCGTGCCCGGCGGCAGCCTTTGGCTTCTCCCGGCCTGCACCCAAACGAATCAAGGATGCGCTCTGTCCCCGCCCCGGGGTACTGCCTATTGCTGCCGGCCATGCCTCTCGGAGACTCCCGCCCCCTTCCCTACGGGCCTTGGCCCGCAGCTTCCCCGGAAGTCGGCTTTTCAAATGGACCCTGTTACAGCGGCTCCCATCCGGGACAATGGCAGCGGGAAGAGGGTGCAGGCGGGACTTCCCGTCTCGTGTCCAAGTAGCTTCCGGCGCGAGCCGGAAGACCCGGTCCTGGAAGGAATCAGGGGTTGCCGATGCCCCCCCGCCCCGCCTTCCCCGGACGGGCAGGTGAGATCCGGGACTGTCCCGGCGCATCCAGGACTCCTGGACAGGTTAGGTGAGGGCCCTCGGGGAACCGCCGTCGGGCCGGCCCCCCTGCCCCGGTGCCGGGCTTTCCGCACCCTTCTCCAGCCGGTACCCTCCGTTTCCCAGGACCCCACGCGGCCGCCCCTCGGCCCCTCCCTCCGGGCCCTGGCTCCGCCCCGAGCTTGCGGGGGTGGGGTTGCGGGGCGTGACCTCTGACCCCGCCCCAGGATCATCCTCTGGTCTGAGAGGCAAAAGTTGGGTCAGGCCCAGGGCCTGAACATGGGCCACTACCCTGCCCGGGCCACTGCCCTGCCCAGCCCCCTGGGAAGCCAAGAGGGGATTGTCCCCGAGTTGCCCCTTCGAGGGGGGCAGGGGTCGATTCCGAGCCCGGGGGGACGGGAGGGGTGGCCGAGGGAACCTCGTCTGAGGAGCCTTCCCCATCCAACCAGCAGTTCATCGAGCCCCTCCTTCGTGCCAGGCGCCGTACCGGGCCCCTGTTGGGGATGCCTGCCCTCGGGGAGATTCCCCCAGTCCTGCTGGATGGCGGAGGGTCGGTCTATGTATGTCCTTGGGGGAGAGGGATGTTGTGAATTGTCCTGAGCCTGTAGTGAGGCCGGAGGGAAGAACTCCGGGGTCCCGTTCGGCTCAGCTTTCTAATGACTGCAGATAAGGAGAATAACCCCGGGGTAGGCGGGCTGCTGTGGGGCGTCTTTGATACTCAGGGAACGGTTGACTCCTCCAGCCTGGGTCTGAGGGCTCTCCTGGAGGCAGTGACAACTTTCCTAGGCCTGCAGTGTCTTACAAGACCTTAAAACTGTGTCCCCAGCACTTTGGGGACAAAGGGGAAATGAAAGGTCAAGTTTGGGAAGCGTTAGGTGTCAGCATGGCATCCTAAAAGGACACCGTTGTTCATCAGAGGCGACTTAACTTAGGTCCCTTACCTCTCCCGGAGGCCACCTACACCTACCTCCTCAAAACAAATTTCAGAACACTGACGTATGAAGAGTCTGGCGTGATCCAGGACCCAAAGAATATTTTTCCTACCTCCATCTTAATAGCATTTAATGCTGAGAGGTTTGGGATTAGAAAACAGACCCAAGAAGGGATTGTATTTGCTGGTATTTGGAAGTTTGAGGTTCACGTTGGAGGACAGGTTTTATTCTTGGATGTAGAGGATTCTCCTCTCCATAAGTACCTGAGTCCATTTTCCCTTGAGTTGGGACGGTTATGACAAAAGCAGGAGATCACAGTTGCCCTCTCCACGCCCCAGCTAATACTCTCCTCCTTGTGCCCCCGCAGCTCAGACCCAGTGAGAATTCCAGCCATGGAACCACCTGATACCACCCTCATTGAAGGCGTGGGCAATGAGGTGACAGTGGTGGTGGGTGTGGTGGTGCTGGTGTTGGCCCTCGTACTGGCCTGGCTCTCCACCTACGTGGCAGATGCTGGCAGTAGCCAGCTCCTGGGCACCATTGTGGCAGCTGGTGACACCTCTGTGCTCCGTCTTGGTCATGTGGAACACCTGGTCGGGGGGCCGGGCACCTCGGAGCCAGCTGAGCCCACCCATCTTGAAGAGGGTACTGAGGAGAAATCTGAGGAGGAAGGGGGGGGGGACTCAGCAGGTGAGCCTGGTGCCGGGGGCGGGGTTGAGCCAGGCCTGGACCACCTGCTTGACATACAGGGGCTGCCTAATAGGGCAGCTAGTGGTGAGGGCAGCAGTCCAGAAGCCTCCCTGAGGTCTGAGGGTAGCACCCACCTTCTGCCTAACCCTGGCCTCATCAACGTTCGGCTCAAATTCCTCAATGACACAGAGGAGCTGGCAGTGGCCAGGCCTGAGGACACCGTGGGCACCCTCAAGAGGTAAGCAAGGGAAGGTGGGTTACTGACCCTTAGGTAGCAAGGCTGGCACAAGAGCAGCACCCCTGAGAGGTCTCTGGAAATATGCAATTAAGCTGTTCTCCCTTCCTAAATTTCTCTTTTTTCAGTCCCCTAGCTCTGTTCATCATTCTGACCTTTGTCTCCTGTTTTCATAGCAAATACTTTCCTGGGCAGGAGAGTCAAATGAAACTGATTTACCAAGGCCGCTTGCTGCAGGATCCAGCCCGAACCCTTCGCTCCCTAAACATCACTGACAACTGTGTAATCCACTGTCACCGATCACCCCCGGGGCCAACAGTCTCTGGCCCCTCTGCACTGCCCACCTCTCCCACCACAGAGCCTCCAGGTCTCAGCGTCAGTGTGGGCAGCCTCATGGTGCCTGTATTTGTGGTGCTGCTGGGTGTAGTCTGGTACTTCCGTATCAACTATCGACAGTTCTTCACAGCACCTGCCACTGTTTCTTTGGTAGGGGTCACTGTCTTCTTCAGCTTCCTAGTTTTTGGGATGTACGGACGATAAAGACACCATGGGGGTGGGAAGGAGAGCCACAGCCTTCTTTCCCCTCCCTATTTCCCCACGCAGAGTTGGGTGCCAAGGACCCCAGGGCCAGTGGTGGTTGGTAAAAGGGGTGTGGGCCCTCCATGGGAGGTAGGCATGTGGCCTCTTCCATGCTCTCAACTCTACCCCCAAGCAGGGTGATCATGCCCCTTCCCCTACCCATTAACAACTCTCAGGTAGAATTGAGGACTCCCCCCCCCAAAGACACACATACCCCTGATGCCAGTGTGAGTGATTGCCCTCCCCTTGGGTGGACTCTGCTGATGGTCCCGCTTGGTAGAGGTGCAGGCTTAGGTGACCCTAGAATATAGAGGGGGCCCCTTGCCAGCTGCCACCATCTCTACACACACTAGAGCCCCTGGCCTGTCCAGCGTCCTGCATGGCCACTCTCATATTGGGCAGCCAGCTAGAGGACATAGCAGTATCCACAGCATGCTTCTGCCAGGGGCAGCAGAGCCCCTGTGCCTAGTCATCAGCCAAACCGCCTCCTCTTGTTTCGATGGTCAGGTCAGTAGTCTCTTTATAAGATGACCAAATCCAGTCTGTTTCAGGAAGGGGGTGAGCAGGGCCAAGGTACTTCCTTGGACCAGCTGTTCTCTTCAGCCCTTTGGCCCCTGAGTAGTGAAAGTAGGATGGTTCTCATGTTCTGGAATTTTTAAGGTTTCCCCCTTTTCTAGAGCACTTTGCTTGCATACTTTTTTTTTTAAACAAAGAGACAGAACTCTGGGAGTCTTAAGGCAAGACCCTAGGATCGAGAAGTGCAGGAATAGGGCTAGGTAGGACACCACGAAGAAATGTCTGCACTATCATGCCCTCTATGGTTGAAATAACTTTGCCCTTGTGGTGTGGACACTGCTGCCCCTGTGGCTCCTGACCTGATGGCCACTGCCTGTGATTGAATAAAGTTTTGCTTTTGTGGCCAGCCATGGTCACTCAAAATTGCCTCTGAACTTCCATTCTGTTGACAAGTGGGTCAGTCTCCAGCCCTTCCCCTAGAGTAACTGTGGAGGGTGAACAAGCATAGTTAACAATAGGAAAATGCAATTTATTTACACCAGCAGCCATGGGGGATGGGGAATACACAGCGTTTACAAAGTTAGCTACCTGTACAAAATGGATTACATATGCAAAAATAAAATTTCAAAACCACAGGACAGCAACACCCCCTCCCTCCCAATGGCCCCAGCATGCATTAATGCCAGGCAGGTGGCCCCTGGGCATGCAGGGGGGGAGTGACGCATGGAAGGAGAAAAGCCACCGGCCACAAAAAAAAAATCAATATAGAACCCCCACACACATACTTAAAGACACATGATAGGCTACAGAATGGACAATACATCTAGCTGGGAACTGGGGGAAGGATGGGAAGCAAAATCCACATAGCCTGTACTAGAGAAAGGGAAGGGAGAGGCCTGGAAAGCTCCTAACCCAGAAGTTTAAGGGCAATAAGCCCTCTTTCCCCAAAGGGAAAGAAATTGTTCCCTAAAGATCCCAGCTAGGCCAGGCTCATCTCATATAGCCCAGCAGGGAGTGGGGCTGTGACCTGAGAGGTGAACTGAAGTTGGGCAAGTCAACATTGGGAAATCTCCCAAAACTAGTTCCTAGCTCACCCTCTTCAGACAGGAAGGGGAAGGTAGGAACCACCTGGGCCTCAGTATAGTAAAAGGATCATCACTGGGCCTTGGGAGCTACAGCCACCTCTCAGAAGGTAAGGGTTCCATGGGCACCCCCCCCCAGCAAACATAAGAGTTTGCCCCTTCCTCTCCAATGCCAACCTGCTTCCAAGACATGATTTGGAATGGCTAAGGGGCACTGGGTTCCCTCCTATAAAGGGGGAGCGATATGGAAAATAAGGGAAGGGAAATGCCCTGGGCCCATCCTCCAGTCTTAACTCACACTAAGGTTTGGCTTTATTTCTTCCTTTAAAAAACAAAATTCTTGGGTTAAAAACCAATCTGTAACCAGGCCCAGCCAGGGAGTTGGAGATGGTAGGTAGGAATTGGGGAGGGGGGGGGTGGAATCCCCAATCTGCTACTTCTGCTAGCTGTCCAGGACCCATCCAAATTTGTTAATCCAGTACTAATACTAGTATCTAGTAGGCCATATCAGGGACGGATTCCCCCATCCTGGGAGGAAAGGACATATGCCCACCCCCCAGTAAGGTTACTCAGGGCATTGTCCATTTCAAGTCTAGTTTTCCCACCAACTTTCAAAACCAATAAGCACTCCAAACCCCCAGCCCTGGCAGGTCTGGGTGGTAGGATGGAAAGAGAAAGGAATGCTTTCATCCCAACTTTGCAGGATGTAACGAGCAATATCTGATCTAACAATGCATCTCTTTCTCCTGTGGTACAAGCATATGGGCACCATTTCTACCCTCTTCACACCCACTATATAAGATCAGGACTCTCCTCAGAGTGTCAGACTACAAGTCCAGAATAAATAACTTGGGGGGGGAAAAAGCTAAGAAGGAAAGGCAAGAGATGAACTAAAGCACATAGGAGTGAAGGAGGGCAGCAAGCAGCAGATAAGAAGCTGGGGAGTCCTATGAGGACAAAAGGGGAAGAAGGGGAACGTGGGGCCCCCTGAGGGCGAGGCTGGGCCCTTTCCCAGGGCAGGGGATGAGGTAAGAAAACATTTCAAATAAAGCAGCACCGTTCCCACTCACTTTGGGGCCCTCTCCTCCCAGGGTTCTGGGGTTTAGGGAAGAGGGAAAAGGAAAGTTCTGATAAGCAGTTTCCCTTCCTCCCCTCTCCCTTCCCATTCCCTGAAGCCAGAGGTTTCTGGCAGCCCCTCTTGGCTCTCCACAGAGGGGCAGTTCCCACAGCCTGGGTGGCCCTAAAATACTGAGGAGAAAGGTGGAGAAGGGAACCAGTCTGAACTGCCCCAAAAAGGGAATACTCTGTGCCTACCCACCCACTCCAGGAAGAGAGGTCACTGGACAGGACTTGGGCAACAGGCAGCAGAGCAGCCCTCAGCAACAAGCACCAGACCCATTCACATTGCAGAAGGCAGATAGGGGCCTCTTTAGGGCTCAGTTCCCAATGCACAACCCCCTGGAGAGTCACAATGCCCCTTCCATGGGATTTCATTCAATCCCTGGGGTGAAAGGCAGGCAGTGTATGCACCCTAGCATGGTATTCAAGTCTGGCCCCCTCTCCTCTCAATCCCAGCTGGACATCCAGGAAATCACAGAATAAATAGAAAAACACTCTCCCCCAAAAAACTTGTTCAAGGCAGAGTACGTCCAGGTCTGAGTCCTGCACGCCTGAGTGTCGTGCACAGTCAACAGGGTCCTGCCATCATGCTGTGGTTCAAACCAGTGCCAAAGGCTGGCATGACTCCCCCCATACTTCACAACCCCAAATCCCTGGCCTTTGATGAAGGCTGCCACCTGTCAACCAGAACTGGGGGGCAGGGGGAAGAGACTGGCCCAGATAAGGGAACACCCTCCAGCCTCTGGTCAGTTGATGTCATCATAGATGCTCGGTGTGGGGGGAGCAGGGGGCTTTGGCTTCTTCTTCTTGTTGGAGCTGAGGCCTGGAGTTGCCCCCACCAGACTCAGGTGGGGTTTCTTTTTCTTGGTCTTCCTTGATTCAGAGTTATTAGTGCCTGAGGGGGAAAACACAGAGAATGAACCTGGGGAAGGCTACTTGAAACTGCCCTGTTCTCTAATCTGTAGGGCAGATACTTCTACATTTCTGCTCCCTTGGTTGGAAGAGCAACACTCAACCCTTTAAAGTTTTACTTTTTGACAATGTATCGGGCACAGGGAAACTAAGAATTCTTTACTGCCCCCACCCAGTTTCTCCCACCACCCAGCCCGGTTCTCACTCGTCTTAGAAGAAGCAGAGTCAGAGGGTGAGAGATCAGAGGAGCCATCCCACTGCAACCTGCTCATCAGGGCCTGGCTCTCGGCCACATCAAAGCTGTCGTTCTCTACAGAGCCCTCTGCCTCAGGCAAAGGGCTGGAGGTGAGAAGGATATTAGGGACACTGGTCATCACCTGAGGTCACTCCCCACCCTCATTCTAATCCCAATGTCCCTTTAAAGTTACTGCTTACGCTGAGGGGCCCAGGAAGTAGACACGCACAGCCCGTCTCTGCTCATCTGTGTGCTGGGGGCAGCGAAGAGACCTGTGAGGGAAATGTCGGTGACAGCCCAAGTGTGGCCAGGAAACTCAGATGCCTATATTCTTTGGGCCCCCTGGACACGTCCTCCCTTGGTAAAGGAGGAAGGTTTGCATAGAAAGCTCTGATCCCCATACTGCACAACAAAGCATGAATGCTGAAGTTTTCCTTACAATGGCAGAGTGTATCTAGTGTATCTGTGACTCCACACCAGAGGAGAGGGACTCATTCCCAGGGATATCTGAAACTCAAGCCCATCTCAAGGGTTAAGAAAGAAGATAATGCTATTTAGCTTGGCACTCCTTGGAAGGTAAAGAAGCAAGAGCTCCACCTACCCCCCCCCCAGCCCTTGCTTACCTAGTGCACATCTTCTTTGTATGTTCAGAGATCACCCCACACTGCTGTAAGAGGAACACAAAGCTGGGGTGAGGACAAAAAGACAAATCTACATCATGTTATTAAATATTCTGTCCTCCCTAAATTCTAGATCCCACATCTTAAAATGATAGTAACCCCACTGCCTTCTTCCTCCAACCACCAAATCAGAACAGATGAGGCTACTAGCTAGACAGAACCATTGAGACAGGGCTGCCCTGCCACTACGTTGATCTCCTCCACAATTTTTCTCTCCCTTCACACCTTCCCAGACCCAGATACCTCCCCTTCCTAGGGTCTCACTGTGGTAAGCAGGGTTCGAAGCTCCTCAGGACCTAGGGTTTCATAGTTGATCCCAGAAGAATTGCTATACTGTGAAAAGATTAGAAAAGGTCAGTGACAGGGAAGATGGGAAAAAGGAGATGGAAAGAGTTAATAAGGCACTAGTGGGTACGTAACATCCCTGAAGTTGCAAGGTTTTATGATAGCAGTTTTTCAAGTGAATCTTTTCAGCTGCACATGAGAAGAAACCAGGTAGAAAGAGGTCCCAAAACCACTCACTGCTTCTGGCTGTTAGAACATCATGTAATATGCCCTAATACAAGAAGCAACACATTTCCAATCTTGGGCCAACCAAAGAGAAAAATTCACCCCATCCAAGGAGAAAAAAATGTAGAGGAACTATCAGAGATGGGACTGGCCCTACTCACCTTAAAAGGATCTGAATTGCTGCTAAGTTCCCCTGAAGAAGAAAAAAAACAAACAAACAAAAAACAAGAGGGGGATTGGATGCAGAGGTACAGGTAGATGGGCCTGCAAATAACCAGAGAGGATGTGGGGGTGACAGAAGGGTCACTGACTCTCCCAGGATGGCTTCCTTAGTCTTTTATCCCCAGAGTCACAGGCTGAAGTCCTCCTTGGCCCCACTTACCATTTTTGTGTTTTAATGACTTGGACCTTCGAGGGGAGTTGGGGTTCTGGAAAGAGAGAAAAGAGTTAGAGTTTAGTGGAGCAAAGAAGCAGGAAAGGCAAAGGTGGTTGACATAAGAACATCCCAAGTCCCTACTCCGCTCCCCTCCTCCAATTCCCCTCCTCTCTCTGCCCTAGTACTTAGCTACCTTGTTTCCAGGTCAACCAAAGATAGCCTTAATCTGAAGCCCACAAAGCCTCCTTGAAGGCCCAGAGGGAAATGTATCTTCTCTGTGTACCCCCCACTCTACTATTCTTCTGTCTGCCCATCTCTCACCTTGTCTGATTTTCTCTTCTTTGCTATGAGGAAAAAAGGAAGATGATTGCAATTACCTGAAGTTTCCAAACCTAATGCCCCACAAGAAAAAGCATCATATCCCCACAACAGAAGCACGAACCAAGCACTGCACCCTCCACCCCCTGCCCCAAGATTTCCCCAGCAGATCTACACCACCTTTCTTCTCCGAG